TTTATTGGGGACATTTATATAGGTATCTAAATACGGTTTGTCTTTATTAGTCCATGGGAATATTTTTTCTGTATCTATAAATTTAATTATTAACGACATTTGTTGACGCAAATGAATGAATGAATATACTGTAGTATAACATCACCGGGTTCGTTCAGCAAGATTGAACGGTTTGAATTTTTATTGCCTCTTCTTTTAACAAATCTTCTGAAAGACGGATTGAAAAACAAACACGTGGTTGAAACTTACTCAATTTTACTTACTTGATATGCGCCCGACAATAGCAATTAAGGAAATTTAAGGGAAGTTGTGATATGCAAAATAAACGAAAAATTTGTGAAACGTTGATATTAAAGTAAATCGTACCGTTCTCGACCTGGAACTCACGAGGGGAAAAAGCACGGCAGAGGAACCCTCGATCTAACATTCCTCAAAAATCAAAACATACTGTATCATTTTAATAAATAATTATCAGTCAATAATCAATAAAAGTTTAAATTAGGTACCGTCTCTGTCCTTGTACTAAAATTTTAATTCCACATAATACATTCAATGAACACTACCCATATTCAATACTGAAGAGTTTTTGGTTAGTTAGCCAGTTTCACCAGCAGGTACTGAGGTCCCTGTGCGAGGGGCTACTCAGCTATAGTTGTTATTTTGAGTCAATATCTGGCCAGGGTAGGAAAATGTTCGACAAGGCCTTAATGTATGCTCTGAATACCAGAAATCAAAATCCCAGCACATCATTTCTTAGGTTTTAATTTACTCTTTATTTGCGCTGTTTACAGCATGAAACGATTATTGTTAAATACATGAACAATGCACATGTTATGAAAAATTTTAAAAACAAACAAAAAAAAAAACATAAAAATAAAAAATAATACTTGTATAAATTGAAATCTTTAAAACAAAATAACATTTATTCAACTGACCTGTGAATGCTCCTTATGACACACAAACTAATCACAAATTGGATTGAACAAACAGCTTAATACGAAATAAAAATTGAATAATGAACAATGGCGGACAAATGGTCCAAGGCACAAGCTTCTTCTCTAGTCTTCCATTCTCTTCTCTTTACCCTTCGGTACCTTTTCGTGTGGCGCAAGCCCGTTCCTATATATTTCACCGCGCATACATGGTTGCAACATTCACTTTTATTAATTTGGTACCTAAACGCTTTAAGAATTTAAGATTTGAAGAAATAATATTTCAAATAGGTGGTTTTCCTCAATACAGAAAAATCTCTTGGACTATTTGCCACTCTTTCCTCTCGTGCGATATCTAAAACTTGTTCTTGTCATATTCGTATAAGCTTCATATTCAGAAATCTTCCTGCCTTAGCCCCAGTTCGCCCACTTCTAATCATAAACCCCGAAATACCGCTTCTATTTAAGCTTGTCTGTTTAAATTTGCCCCATCAACCTATCTAATATCATCAACGACTCAACCAACAATTCTTAGGCTCTATGTTGGAGTTAAGAGGTTGCCTGGTATTGGGTAACAGATTTCGTTATCTGGGGCGCCTAATGGAGTTTTGCATTATGTTCAGGCACCCCAGATGACGTCATAAAAGTTATCAGGCAACCTAACAACCTTGGTATACGCCTTAACTCTAGATCCTGACCTCTGAACCTTTACTCTGCTAATTTCCTGAATATTCTCTAAAGACTCCTCAGATTCCGAATCCTGAATCATTACTTTGCAAAGTTCCTGGCCCTTCTACGAGAAGACTCTTGAGATCTTCAGCCATTTTACAATAAAACTCTAGATAATTATCCAAAATTGAGTTTTTTTTTAACAGAGCAATATACAATATACAAATTATTATTATTCTGTTTCTGTATACCAATTTGATTGGAAACTTACTTAATTGTTTTATTGGTTTACCTATGTCAAGATTTGGTTGAGTTATATGCCTTATTTATTTCCTTTTCAGAATTATCAATAATTACCGTTTGCTGATTTTTTTTAGGTATGTTAAAAAAAATTGCGTGTTTGTTGCATATTGCCATGACGTTAAAGGATACAGAATTTATTTTCCACAGACACAGAAAGTAGAAAAATACAGAGATGTTCTTTTCTTACCTGAGCTTCCTAACAATACGGAGGGGAAGCAGACTACACCAGAACAAGAACCTAACAAGTTTGTTGATCCAAAAATACGGTAAAAGTGACCTTGAAGTTTTGCAAAATGATGGTAATGAAGCTCAACATGAAGATGAAGTTGAAGATGAAAACTTCAATTATAAAGAAGACGAAGACAGGTAGTGGAGCAAGATAGAACCGAGGATAGAATGAGAGATGGTCAAGGAAGATACAACTTAAGACCAGTCATTCATAAACCTCGTGCATTATCAAATGACTACATACTTAGTGCAGCAGCAAGTGTTGTTGAAGGTGAACCATTGACTTATGAAGAAGATATGAATAGAAGTGAAGCTACGGAATGGTCAAAAGCATTAGACGAAGAAATAAAGTTTCTTGAGAAAAATGACACTGGGGCAGTGGCAGTTACAAAACTATACAGTGTAAGTGGGTAATTAAAAGAAAAAAAGAGGAAAATGGTAAGATATTGCAAGGTACAAGACTTGTGCCTAAGAGATTTCAACAGAACAGACCGAAGGTGAATGGTGGTATTGTCAATATTAGGTATTAACTAGCTAATATGCAGTTAGCTGATATGACAAAATCACTTAGCTTTGATTTATTTTGTAAGTTTAGAGTTATGCTAGGAATGGGTGATTTACCATAGAGAGGAGGTGTTTAAGAACAATCTAGCAGGTATAGTTAAAAGTGTTTTCTGGAAAATGACGTGTGTGTCAAGATGGTGTCAAGTAAAAATAAATAATTAGTAGTTCAATACAGTCTTTATCACAGGTCTTTATCTTTGCCAATACAAGTAATATCTTTTTGATTTCGCTCTTGTGGTGGTTAACCTCTTCAAAAATAAAAAAAGCTCTAAAGACCTTATACCATCATCACATTATCATAAGTAATCAAAAACCTCATTTCCATTTCGATTTTGTAAGTCCATTGAAGAACACTAGGTGGTGCGACATAAACAAACTTTATTGTAAAAACGCGCCTTTTTAACGATGTCCAATCATCAGAGAATTAAAATTAAATTTAACGTGGTATTTTACGACAATCATTAAAGAACCCCGCGGTTCGGACCTATATGAATGGCACCCCCCTGGTCCAGCTTGTACAAACGTTAATATTTCAATCCCATGGAGCAGAGCATTTAAAAAAGGCAAGAAGAGGGCTTGTTAGGCGCTAGGTGAGAAATTTGTTGTCCTTTCGGAGACCCGCTGTTAACTGTAGGCGTATAAACATACACGAAAGCACCCTGTATAACGACGGTTTCTACTGATTTAGCCTACGGTTTGTTAAAACGCGCACGGACGCACAGCGAGTGGCTTATAACAACTGTGACACTCTTCAGTTTATACTGTCACATAACCGTAACTCTGAATTTTAATATGCAGGATCCTATTATTATTTTTTTTTTTTTTTTTGGGTGTTTGGGTTTTTGATTAATACAAATCTGTGACATTTTTTTTGGTTTGGGTGTTGAGGGTGTTGAAGAATATTTTGGTTAGCTCAGCAGGTTGTTTGGGAAATTGATAATGGGAATCAGGGTTTCGTTGTAATAGATGAATACCCATATTCATCAATGTCATTTGATAAGATGGATATGGATGTTGATTATAATGGGAATTTTATTCGGTAATTTTGCGTAACTAACTTTCAATTCAATTTTTTTTGGGTTGGGGTGAAATTTTTTCGTCTGGGTGTTGAATTTTATGCTTGACTCAGCAGGTAGTTTTGTAAATTGATAATGCGCTTTGGTTGTATGAGTACCTACCAAAATACATCGATTGGAAAGATGGATTTGTCAGGTCTAAGTTTAATCAAAAGACCTGAATAAAGGGTAAGAGTAGCGATTGCATATATGTTTTAGACCTCACCAATGATAACTTAGCTTAAGCCAGGTTGACACGGTCCAAGTGTACTTGGTGGATGAAAACCCTGATTAGCGAAAACATTCCCTATCAAAGGTTTGGGTTTAGGTCACTGGAAGAACTATTACAAAGCCAACGAGAATAATATGGGTTGACTCGCTCCAGAATAAGACATATGTATCAGATATTAAAAAAATGTGCTTAGTTCAGATATAGGTGTTCTTTCCTGTGTTTTTTTTTCTTCATATACCGATCCTATCCAAATGGACTTGGATAAGTACTAACAATAAACATGCTGCCAACTTACTTGGTTCAAGTTTCCATCCAAGTGCACTTGGACCAAGCACTTGGATCAAGTATACTTGGACGCTGCGCGCGCCTCATTTGTACGTTATTTGGATGGTGTCACATGTTCATCCAAATCCAGTTGGATGGATCCTAACATCCAACTTAGTAGGCTGTCTCCCAACTTACTTGGTCCAAGTTCTCATCCAAGTGAGCTTGGACCGTGTTAACCTGGCTCTAACTCCACCAACTCCCATTTTCTTGTTATTAAGCTGCTCTCAAATTAATATTTATTTTTGAACCACAAAACGATGAAACATCAAATTTCTGTTGATTTAACCTTAATCCACTTTGCCGCCATAGTATTTTGGTGGACTATATAATCGCCCAGCAGGACCATAAAACACGAAGGGAGTTTAAAAGAGTTGACGTGAAAACACGAACGAAAGAAAACGCAATTTCCCATTTCGACAAAATAAAAACGAAACATTTTCGTGGCAAAAACAAAAAACTATTACGTGTTGTCGCTATATAAATGTATAGGCCTGAAAATGACTTTTAACGCCTCTGGGTCAAGTTATTTAGGGTTTCCCTAACTGGCTCGCACAAAAATGTGATGGCGTGTACATAAAAAAAAAATATTTACTTTCTAAGTCAAACGCTATTAATTTCAAGCGCTATTAGCACGTCTACAACGATAGCACGATAATGTAAAAGTCATACATAAAATAAAAGATCTATTACCTGTCCATTTTTGTCCATTTCATTATTTGTTAATTTCACTTTTTCAAAAGACACCACTTGTTTTCTCAATTGTTCTCCTGAATAAGGCGAATCTGGATGCGCGTAAATTCTGGCAGGTGCTGGAGGATCGGCCTTTCCTGCCACCAACCACGAAGATCTATGATACGCGTACCGGTACCTTTTATTATCGACAGGTACTATGTCTAAGAGTACCGCGTATCTCTGATCCGGTCTGATTCCAGTGAATGATACGCGTACTGTTGGAAACATTCGCCTGAAATAGAAATGAAAATAATTAACTTTGGTTTATTTTGCATTATAGTATTTATAAGTCAACACCTGTCCGATACGGCCGAGACTTAAATAAATATCACCACAACACCGTAGTATGGTAAACAAATTGTTTAACGATAATCTTGTCACTGTTACAAGCCGTTGAGCAGCTGAGGCCACTAATACCCACACTTGGCACTACCATACCATACCATAATCAACACCGGATATGCTTTTGGTGTCTGTTTCTTCATGTTAATGTTCGATCGGCCAACCCGGGGATTAAATTTTTTTTTGCTTTCGGAAATTATGTTGATGCGCTCTACTATATAGTTACTAAATAGTCGAGAAACTAATTAGGGCAACTGTCCATTGCTTCTTTTTGTTGGTGCCTTGAAAAACGTTATGGTAATAGTTTTAATGCTTCTGGTAGTACGTGATAGTAAAAAAATAAATAACACTTGGTTTAACGACGTTTATTTCTAATTTATTGATGGTACTTTCAGTAGTAAATTGGCTGAAGCAATTAGCTTTTTGCAAATTAATTAAACTTATAATCAATTATTCCAGGTTTAAAGATTTATTGATTTTCTGTTAGTACCTTCTTTTGTTTGAAAAACTTTCAATCAAAACTAATGTGAAGCGATGAATTTAATTGCATAGGACTTTCCAAAGAAAGAAGAAGAAATAGCAAGAAGCTTTATTGCTCATCAACTTCCTGCTTTCTGATAAAGAAAATTGGCTGTTTAAATGTTCGTTGATGTAAGAGCTTTCACCAACAAGCACAAAACTCACCCACTCTGTTGGTTCTGTAGATACCTTTCTCAATTATGTCCATTTCCAAATATGAAGAAGAAGAAGAAGAAGAAAAAGAAAAAGATTTCTATAATTAGTCAGTAGATGATTCTAAAACTGTAGATCAGCTTTGTAGCTCTTTACTTGGAACTTGAAAAGGTAGGTCAGAATTTGAATGTTAGTTCCAGTGGTTATGGGTTTGACATTGATACAGAATTTTCTTAGATTGAATCCGTTTTGAACGAAATTTCTGATGGAATTCGAAGTATGTCTCCTGAAAATGCAAGAACTCGATTTGAACTTAATCAGTCTAGACTCATAAACCTCTTGGATCGAACTAATCATATACCAACTGATAACTTGTCACAGTCACAATTGAGCGAACGTGGTGATTTTCTTGCTGAAATTTCAGCTCTTCTTGATAAGCTCGAGAATATTACAGTTAATGATCCTAACATTAGTATTCTATTAAATAATTCGTTTGCCATTAATAATCCAGTAGCTCAAACTTCTACACCTACACGATCTACTCCTCCTGCTGTTAACAATATACTATTTTACAAAAGGTAGAACCAGTTCAAAAATGTGGTGTTAAGTTTATTGGTAATTTGAGAGTCATGTCAGTGCTTGCATTCTTAGAAATGCATGAACTGAGAGTTGCCCAAGATGTGACAGAAAGTGATTTGTTCCATTCAGCTATCGAAGGAAAGGCACTCAATTGGTTTAGGGCCAGGGCCTACCGTTCTATATTTTCAACTTGGGGTGAATTGTCTGATCTTTTGAAAACCCACTATAAACCTCCAGATTACAAATCACGACTTTTCAGAGAAATTTTAGATCGATCCTAAGATGCAACTCAGGGAATTGTAGATTATTTGACAACCATGAATTCACTGTTTCGTAGATATGGCATGGTTCCTGTAAATGCTCAATTAGAGATTATTATTCGCAACTTGGCTCCATTTTATACCATCCAGCTTCCTGTAGTTGACACTTTGGACGAGCTGGAGAAGAAATATGTCAAGTTAGAGTCAAAGAAATATCGTGCAGAACATTACGCACCACCTCCTCGTAGACGCAATAATTGATATTGACTTTGTCTTTGTGGAAACTTCATGTGTAGAATCAGCAGCTGATGTTCTTGCCATTGCACAGACTTCTAATATTCATTCAAATTTACAGAATTCTCGTGGCTTGAAATATTACTTGTTGGAAATGAAAGAAAGTAGGTCATACAAATTAGGAATGTAAACAGCCACGTAAGGTACATTATTTTAAACTTCGTAATGTGGATACTACAGTCTGTAACTGTCCTAATTGTTCGGGAAACGGATTCCGGGGAAATCGGGATTAGGCCATTTGATGACCCCCACTAATAATTTCTTGGCTGTTTCAAATAAATTAGGAAAACTGGATAGGGTTGTTGCAAAGCTGCAGAGCATGTAATTGAGTTAGAACCTGGTACCAAACCTATCAAACTACGGTATGTCCCTACAAGCAAAACATTATCAACGACGCTTTAGACGAAATATTAAGTCTCGGTGTGGTTGAACCTTCGAAAAGTCCTTGGTCTACACCTCAGAGGTCTACACCAATATGTCTATCTCATAAAAAAGATAATACTTATAGAGTTTGCTTGGACTTCAGAATTCTCAACAATTACACTAAAAAGGACAGTTTTTACCCCATTCGTTATATCAATTCGATCCTTGACAATTTACGTAATGCCCGATATTTAAGTAGTATAGACATAAGATCTGCTTTTTGGCAAGTAGCTACCACTTAGTTCTGAGTCTCGTGAACTTACTGCTTTTACTGTGCCTGGACGAGGATTATTTCAGTTCTGTAGGATGCCTTTTGGATTAACCAATGCTCCAGCAACTTGGCAGTGCATTGTAAATAGATAATGCTTTGGGAGCGGATCTCCAAAATAAAGTGATGGTTTATCTGGACGACGTCATTCTCATAAGTGAAACATATTCGTCTTCTTGGACTTGTGGTTCATAGGCTTCGAGAAGCAGGTCTCGTTCTCTCTCTCTTGAGAAATGTAAATTTTGTCGGTCGCACCTCAAATACCTTGGGTACGTGTAGATCGTGATGGTTCAAGGCCAGATCAATATTCCCACTACTAAGAAAATCAATGAAATACGTCGATTTATAGGTACTGCTTTATGGTGCAGACGTTCCCAATTTTTCTAGGATTATATCTTTATTAACAAATCTGACTAAGAAAAATGTGAAGTGGGTTTGGACCCTAAATGTGACCAATCCTTTAATATAAGAAGATCAAAGAACACTTACTGCTTCTGTTTTGACTTGCCCTGATTTCGATCGTACTTCCACTCACGAGACAGATGCTTCTTCTTATGGTTCGAGGCGACGGGGCCGGTAATGTTCATGCAATAACTTTTTTTATGGGTTAAATTCGACCCTGTATAATACAGACATGCATTCTGCGTTCCATATATCGCTGAAGGTATTGAAGCGCACCGCGCGCCTCCTAGGAATACCTAGCAAAAAGGTAGAAGAGTACACGACAGTCACTACCATCGATACGGCAGATTGGTTTGGTGCGAACCCACTCCATTTTCGGCGGTTCCTTTCGCAGAACATTTTCGCGACCGTTGAGTTTTTCGTCCATTTTTCGCCGTTGAACAATTGTCAATTGCTTGTGCGTTTAAGCCTTCCTCGGGCGTTCCAAAGTTACAAGACCACAGAAGCCAAAGTGGGTAAACGACAAACAACCTTTCTGCATGACCTCACTTCATTTCTTATTTTTTTCGTGTAATAAGGACGCAATATTCGCTATATAGTCCACCAATAATTCAACCATAATAATTGCATCCTCAGGTGCTGTTTTAACTCAGGAATTTGATGGAGGAGAAAAGGTTACAAGCTATCTTTCCTGCTCATTGACCAAACAGAAACAAAAATATACAGTGTCTGGCTGTTATTTGGAGTATAGAGAAATTGAGGCATTATCTGGAACACACTCATTTCAAGGTCATCACTGACCATCGTTCGTTAATTTGGCTTCATAAATTAAAAGATCCTCAAGGGCGCTTAGCGCGTTGGGCTTTACGTCTCCAATCCAATTTTGAGTTGATTCATAGAAAAGAAAAGACCATATTGTGCCAGATTTCTTGTCCCGTTCTGTTTCTATCATCGAAACTATTGACAACGATAATTTTCTAACTTCATTCTCCGACACTGAGAAGCTAAATGACAACCTGAGGAAGTTTTCTACCCGGAAAATCGAGAATGGTAGTAGTTCCTAAAGATAGGCGCAAAGAGATTCTTAGACGTTGTCATGATATTCGAGCTTCAGGACATGTTCTTGATTCACACATTCCCTTGGAGCTAACTCCTTTCTTGGGCGTATAGTTTTAGGAGTCATGACATTTAATGTCAACCCTGATTTCTGAAGATAGGGACTTATCAAAATGAAAAACGAGTTACACATCATCAGATTTGAAGCTGTTGGCGTCAATGAGGTCAGGAGAAGATGCGAAATCTAAGAGACTCGAGGGCCTGCTCATATATTTTACCACAAAGGCGAAAAAAACTGGGAAGAGTTGGATTCTTTATAAATAGGTAACATAGTAGCAATTCAGGCAATATCCACCAGAGGTAAATACAGTATTCGAAAAATAAACACAATATGTAGCCTGAACCCTGTATTCTTGCATATATTGCAAAATAGGCGGTAAATTTGAGTCAAGGCTGTTGTCGTTATTTTCAGGTGGTGCTGGCGAAGTATCATTTACTTCATTTGCGTTTATTTCGACTCTTGATAGCGCGTCAGCATTTGTATTGTTTTTCCCTTTTTTATAAAATATCTGATAGTCGAATTCTTCGAGTTTCAGACGCCATCGAATTAAGCGTGAACCTGAATTTTGTTCTTTTAAGTTCATTAGCTATTGGAGTGGGCGATGGTCAGTGAGGATTTTAAATTTTCTCCCAAATAAATATGGTCTAAAATAGCGCGTTCCCCAGACAATACTCAAGAGCTCTTTTCCAATGACTGAAAAACTTTCAAGCTTATGCCCCGACTACGGATCAAATGGGCAACGGGATTAGAATATTCTACGAAAGAAGGTACTACATCCCAAGCCATAACAGAAAATCATACTCACTATTGTAAATGGCGATCTCAGAGGCAAATTGGTACTGGAAAGAGTCCATTCGGAGACGCCTGACTCAGAT